TGACCAGACAAATAGCAACAATATTTATTTCAACTGTCCTTGTTCTACCGGCAGTACGCAACACATTCAACCGTTTGTTGGCAACCATTACACCTGTGAATCAGGAAACCCCACTGCTCCTATATCACTACTATCACCTCATTTGTACACATCTGATCCACTCTGGGATGGCCAAGGATGTAGTTCTCATGAAGCAGCTTGTTGTGACATTCCTGGTATCCCATGGTTTCACAGAGACTATGGTAACGCTACCACTACTGACTATATTGAGTTGAGGGTCTGTGGAGATGAGGGAACTGATAACGAAGACACTCCTGTCAGCTATTATGAGATTTACGTCAAGTAGAAATGACTTTATGACCTGTTTTTGAGTGCTTTTGGCATTAAGTTTAAAGAATTCAGAAAATTTTTTCTTTTGTTGTTTTTTTAGATTAGATTAATTATAGAGGTTTACTTACTACCGTCAAGTGGTAATTCAAAAGCCACCTGCATTATTGTGTGTATTAAGAGGAATTTAAATTGATAATTTTCATGTTCTTTACACTTTTAATAACATACCCTTTTTAATAACCGTTTTCAGATAGCGTTTTTTGAGACTAATAATTTTTGCAAATGACCTGCATCCGGAAGTTCACAAAATTAATTTTTGCAAACATTTACTATTCTGTCATCTTGTAAGTAATTTTTAAACAATTTAATTTTGCGAATCATGAAAATACACGAAATTTATTATCCTTGAAAAAACAGCTATACGGTAGCATAATGTACATATAATACTCACTGTTTTTATGCTTCCATTCTTGGGTCCGGTAACATTCCAAGACCCCAGACTCTCAAGAAAGCTCCTCATGTCACAAGGAGAGTGTTCCCAGTGACTGCCCAGCAGACGTACCTCAATCCCTTTCTCATAAGCTGCTGTACGCAATGCATCATCTATCACCGGCCAGTACCTAATATAATATAAATAAAATATAATATAAATTGTTAATAAAGTAATCAACAATTTATTTTGAGGATTTTAGTGCACAGTATCAGGTGTTTTTTCAAGGGTTACAAATTTTGCAAATTCTTTCCTGATCAACGAAAATAAAATCCACAAAAATCAATGTTATACGTTACCCACATGGCACATGGTAGAATTTGCAAAATTAAAATCCGTAAATAAGAAATTAAGTAGATTTCACAAGATATAATTTGCTCAAAAAAACACTTATACGGTACACTGCAATGTATAGTAGCAAGAGAATTGTTTTATTGTTTTATTTAGAAACAATCGTCTCTTACTTTTTAGGGTAGCTGTAGACAATGGCTGGTTCATAGTCCATTACAGCAATGTAGATAAACTCATCAGCACTCGCTATGACATTGAGGAGGGCACTAATGTCATCAGTTCTGTGATCAGTAGAGAATTGTGGAGGAGATGACTAGAGAATAGAGAGAGAATTTTTACTAAATTTTAAATACATATTGATGTCCCTATGCTATGTAGAAAGTTTGAGCTGATTCTGACAATCAAATTTTGAGTTATGAGCATTCTTAAATGAGCCAATTTTTGAAAAATACCCAAGGCTATAGCCCATGGTTTTTTTTCAAAAAATGGCTCCGAAATCACGCCAAATTTTTATTACATTTTCTGATACATAATGACGTCCTTATGTTATGTAGAAAGTTTGAGATGATTCCGACTTTAATTTCTCAAGTTACGGCCATTTTAAGAAAACGCCAAAAATCTGAAAAATACCCAAGGCTATAGCCCATGGTTTTTGTAAAAAATGGCTCCAAAATCACCCCAAATTTTTATTACATTTTGTGATACATATTGACGTCCTTATGCTACGTAAAAAGTTTGAGCTGATTCCGACTTTAATTTCTTAAGTTACGGCCATTTTAAGAAAACGCCAAAAATCTGAAAAATACCCAAGGCTATAGCCCATGGTTTTTGTAAAAAATGGCTCCAAAATCACCCCAAATTTTTATTACGTTTTCTTATACACATTGACGTCCTTATGCTACGTAGAAAGTTTGAGCTGATTCCGACTTTAATTTCTCAAGTTACAGCCATTTTAAGAAAACGCCAAAAATCTGAAAAATACCCAAGGCTATAGCCCATGGTTCTTTGTAAAAAATGGCTCCAAAATCACCCCAAATTTTTATTACATTTTCTTATACACATTGACGTCCTTATGCTACGTAGAAAGTTTGAGCTGATTCCAACTTTAATTTCTCAAGTTACGGCCATTTTAAGAAAACGCCAAAAATCTGAAAAATATCCAAGGATGGTTTTTTTCAAAAAATGGCTCCAAAATCACCCCAAATTTTTATTACATTTTCTGATACATATTGACGTCCTTATGTTATGTAGAAAGTTTGAGCTCATTCCGACTTTAATTTCTTAAGTTACAGCCATTTTAAGAAAACGCCAAAAATCTGAAAAATACCCAAGGCTATAGCCTTGGGTATTTTCAGATTTTTGGCCCATGGTTTTTGTTAAAAATGGCTCTGAAATTACCCCAAATTTTTATTACATTTTCTGATACATATTGATGTCCTTATGCTATGTAGAAAGTTTGAGCTGA